CGCCCACTCGCTTACACCCACCCACCCACATCCACACCCACCTACGCCCGCTCCCACCCACCCACCCACACCCGCTCACATTCACCCACCCACCCGCTTACACCCGCTTACACCCACCCATCTCCTTTTTCCGACTTAATCTTGTGAAATGATTGAATTCCCATCGTAACAGAAAAAGAAGACAAAATAAACAATAGCGATGCTTTATGTCATGCAGTAGGAAGAGAAGAGAAAAAGAGAAAAAAAGTAAAATAAGCTCGTAGGCGCACATATTTTTATAACGTATAGCTGAGAAAAAAATAACATTTGTTTGCTCATAGAAATTTCTAAGAAATAAAACAAATTCGAAATCATGATGATAGTCTATCCTTTGATAACGTAATCTTTACAATATTTTTTCTCATTAAATAAGTATTTTGTAAAGTTAAAAGCTAAATTAATTGTTTCGTACATATATTCATTTTCATATACTAATTCACAATTAATTAAACAAAAAAACAATAAATAAATATAGATTACAAAAACAATACTAAATAATATCAAAGTTCTATAATTCATAGCGCTACAATAATAAATAAATAAAATACTTTCAACAACATAATATTTCATTTCCTCCTATGTGTATAGCTTCACTGGGACGAATTTTCCTTATTTTCAGAAGACATAATGGCAACTGCGCATAAATACGTACGTGACTTAACAGTTTTTCCAACAAACACAAATCATTGTATATTAACTGGCATATCAAACATAAATATATTCACAATTGATCGATGGTTATAAAGAATTAGAAATGTACAAGGCCTTTTTTGTTAAAATGAATAAATAAACTAATACCTATGTCTGCACGTTCATTTTCTCTCTAATATGAATGATCGAAACGCATATTCATCCTGGATATCGTTAAAATAGCGAAGAAGATCGATGATAGAACAACTAAAATGAAAAAAAATAATCCATCACTACTTGTATTTTATAATCTTATAAATTAGGAATAGAGAAAAACCAATGACAGAATTATTAACATTGCTTGAACGTGCTGTTATGATCATTCTCCTATATTCTTTCTAGTAATAAATTCAAATAATCTTAAGTTAGAAAGGGAATCATTTCATAGTGAAGCAATGTTGTTTCTCGTGTGGGTAGTATTTTTTCTATGGACAACTACTAAATGTGATCCGATTTTTTACATCTCTGATCATCGACAGTATGCTTGTCTATATTTCTATTGGATGGATGCACTGTCACCAACAAAAGTTGAATATTGTCTTCGGCCGACAGACAATATTGATATCGTAACGCCAGATTTCTTAAATACACGTGATCAAAATTATACATTTAGTGAATTAAAAAAGATGAATATTACTGCGTATGAGATTTTTGTCTGGTCTGCTTCGATCGATCTCGCTGAAAACTATCAATACTATCTTGACCAGAAGAATAAATCTCTACTATCAAACGAAATATTCTTTAATTGCACAAAACCATGGTTCGGGTCTCGTTGTCAATATTCCTTTGAAATCCCCGAAAAAGAAGCATCACGTGACTTGGACTTGGCTTTGCCTGTTGCTAAACATACATGTTATATTCTACTAGAATGTAATCGTGGTGAATCATTCTTCTGTCTCGATTGGCGTGAAATATGTGATGGTCGAGTTGATTGTCTCAATGATGGTATTGATGAAATGCACTGTGTTGATTTAGAAATAAATGAATGTAAAAGTGATGAATATCGATGCCATAATGGATTATGTATTCCGAAATATTATCGAGAATCGCGTTTATTCTCTGCACTATGTCTTGATCAATCAGACGCATGGGAGACTATACAATGTCCAAGTTTCGATCCGACACTTGATTTATTTCAATGTGAAGAGCATACATGTCCACCAGGTCCAAAACAATTTGCATGTGGCGATGGACACTGTGTCGAAGATTTTGATGAATGTGACAATGGACGACATCTGATGTTACTAAAATCATTGAGTAGTCAAGGCAATCTCTCGTATCATTGTTGGCTGGCAATGGTCTGTCTGACGAAAATAATTGATCAAGTCAATAGAACATCGTGTCAATCTCTATTTGAATCGTCTGATATTCGCGTTTATCTTCGTAGTTGTGATGTTCTCATTCAGTTTCCTATATATCCTGTTCTTTTCGGACATGTTCATTTTCTTTATATTCGACAAGAAGTTTCCGAGATCGACATAAACTCAGCTCTAGTGCCTGATTATATTTGTTATGACGAACTATTGTGTGATTATCTTTCGGCAACATTTCGCAATAAAAATCATATATGTCGACATCGTTATGACATGGGCTTGAAATCGAATGTTGAATACCCTAGTTGGAAAGCGATTATTGATTTAGTCAAACCTTATTTTTCTGGTTGTCATATTCGATATACGAACAAACATCAATCCGAGCATTCGTCATTATATCGATGTCAAAACAGTTCGAAATTAATTTCAAAACATCGAATTCTTGACAATATTATAGATTGTTATTTGGAAGATGACGAACGAGACTTTCGATTAAGTTGTTCACTTGATGATCTATATCGTTTCAAATGTTTCAATGAAACTCAATGTCGATCACCAATATTTGATTTGCGTCGTTGCCCATTTAAAGAAGATCAAATAGCGACTATCGAAAATATCTTATTTAATCAAATATGTGATCGAAATGTTGATATTTTACCTCAATTGATTGATGGGCGAAATCACACAGATGAGACTAATTGTGAAAATTGGCCATGTAATAATATTTACACAAGATGCGATGGATTTTGGACTTGTCAAAATGGTGAAGACGAAGAAAATTGTCGTCCATCAAATTGTTCCGGACATTTTCTTGATTGTATTTCTTCGTCTAATAATACTTTCATATGTTTACCAGCAGAGCAAATTGGAAATGGCATCATCGATTGTCTTGGAGGAATTGATGAACTTCAATTATGTCAAATGAAAAATTATCGTCAGGGAATTTCATACGATTTTCGTTGTTTAGATGACGACAGATGCATTGAATCTTCAGAATTTTGTGATTTCAATGATGAAACATTCTATCAAGATCTTTGCGACGAATGGATTCTTCATAATTTTACTGAACTACAAAATAATCTTTGTCACATTGGTACACTAGGACGCCTTTCATTTACATTAAAAAAATCTCAATTTTACCCATTCATTGAAAATCAAATAGCAGATGAGATTATTGGTTTAACTATCAAATCATCACACGATGCAAATAGTATCAATATTGAATTCGACGACTTCACGTTATCATCACAATGTATTCGTGGTAGATCTATTTATCGTTGGTTAGACAATGAAAATTACCGCCCGAATTGTTATTGTCCACCGAATTACTATGGTGAGTTATGCCAATATCAAAATCAACGTGTTAGTCTTACATTAACATTACTAACAAGTGATAGACGCAATGCTTATGCTATTTTCATCAAGTTAATCGATGATGATGATGATCGACAAGAAATTCAATCATATGATCAAATAATATATGTCTCAAACAGTGGCACATGTGGACAAACATTTCATATATATCTTTTATATTCAACACGAATGAATATTCTTTCAAAGAATTACAGTATTCATATTGATCTTTACTATAAGCATTCGTTGGAGTATGTTGCTAGTTGGTATTTTCAAATTCCTTTTCGTTTTCTTCCAGTTCATCGACTTGTGGTTTTATTGACTTTGAAAACGAATCAATTATCTAATTCTCATGCCTGTCCTCTGAAATGTCAAGAAGGCACCTGTATGAAATATATCAACGAAGAAAAATTCTTCTGTCATTGTAAAAGAAATTGGTCTGGTGCTCTATGCCACATTTTCGTGTCCTGTGATGATTGTTCATCCGATTCACTTTGTATGGGTTATATTCACAATCGGTCGATCTGTATTTGTCCTTCGGAAAAATTCGGTTCACGTTGTCTTCTTAAGCATCCTTGTCCAAAAGATTATTGCCAGAATAATGGTTCATGTATTGTCAGACATGAGAGAACCGAGAGCAGCTATTTATGTTTATGCTCAGAACACTTTAGAGGAAACCAATGTGAAATTCCGAAATCAAAATTAGAAATTTCTTTTCGTAACATAGAACGTGCATCATATTTTGTGGCTTACATCTATGACTTTATTCAATTTGAAGCATCAATGATACAACGACCGATATTGAAAAAGTTAACTAGAATGCAGAATATTGTAACATTCTATATGCCATATCCATTTGAAGTAGTTATCATTAAAATTGCTGATAGTTTCTATTTAGCTGTTCTTCAGCAAATTTCTGTATCAAATATTTCAACTTCAGTTGATTTAACTCGACGATGTCCTTCATTTACTGAACTCTTCAAACCGAAACAAATGGAATTACCCCGAATACAACGAATTAAATTGTATCATCAATTATGTCAAATTCATTCTAATTTGAAATGTTTCTTCGATGAATTTTACATGTGTCTATGTACTACTGAACAGTACGCGAATTGTTTTATTTTTAATTATCATGTCAATTTTTCATGTCTTCAAAATGGTTACTGTCAAAATGGTGGAGAATGTTTCGAGGATGTTTCTCTATGCCCTACGATCACTATATGTGATTGTGTCGATTGTTTCTTTGGTGATCGATGTCAATTTTATGCAAGGGGTATAGGATTAACACTTGATGATATGTTACGCTATGCAATTCTAGCCAATCATAGTATAAATGATCAATCGATAGTGATCAAAATGTGCATATTTTGCACATTCATTTTATTTTTTGCCGGTTTGATCAATAGTACTCTCTCATTTTTAACATTTCAAAGTCCAAAATCTCGTCAAGTAGGTTCTGGAGTCTATCTTTTGACATCATCTATTACTTCTATGATTACTGTAACTACGTTATTAATTAAATTCTGGTTTATTCTATTAACTCAAATGAATTTATCAGCGAATCGTTCTACTCATTATTACGGATGTATATTAATCGAACCTTTGCTTAAAGTTTTCCTATTGTTGAATAACTGGTTGAATACTTGTGTATCTATAGAACGTGCAGTAAGTGCGTATAAAGGAATAGGTTTTAATAAAACGACTAGTCTCTATGCTGCTCGACGAGTAATTATTATTTTACCATTCTTAGTTATAGGCTCAAATATGTATGAGTATATTTCTCGTGGTTTATTTGATGATGTTGAAGAACAACGTGTTTGGTGTGTAACTCTTTACTCTAAACCTTTATATGATTCCACTATAGCCATTTTATTCCTTCATTTATTGATACCATTGATTATCAATCTCGGTTCGGCTGTGTTAATCGTTTGTACTGTTTCTCGTCAACGAGCATTAAGTCAACTACGTCAAACGTGTTATCAACATTTTAAAGAACAACTCTATGAACATAAACATTTAATTATTGGTCCGATTATTTTAGTTATCTTAGCATTACCTCTTGTTGTTACTGCATCATTATTTCGATGTGTAAAAGCATCTCACAATTCCTGGTGGCTTCTTTGTAGTTATTTCATTTCATTCATTCCTTCAACTTTGACCTTTATCATATATATTCTACCATCGGATTTGTACTCAAAAGAATTTAAAAAATCGTTTGAAAACCTTCGACAATGCCTTCGTTTACATTGAAGAGCTGAACATGGGTATGGGATAGATGTGAGTAAGAGAAGAACTCAATAGCCACACCCACACCCTCAAGATGACCTATGTGACTGATGATGAACATATTATATGCTTTACTCAAAGCTTTTCTGCTTCTTCTTCTTCTTCTTCTTCTTCTTCTTCGCCCAATTTTACAAATATTCAAAAAATAAAAAAAAAGCATGCCAATAAAATCAATAAATCATTGTAATAAAAGTCATCAATGGAAAGGTCAATGATATTCGTCGATGATATGCATTTATTCAGTAGTTTTATTAGTTAAAATGAAATTTGAGGATTGATGAGTGTTAACGTTTGGAAGAAAATCTAGTTTACTTTTGTTATATATCTACTTTCTACATCTTTCCTTATCTCACTTTTATTTTGGCTCCATGTTTGGGTGTCAGTGTGGGTGTCGATTTGGGTGTTGGTTTTTTAGTGTCTTCCATACACCCACATACCTACACCCACGCCCATCCATGCCCTACAATTTGGCCTATTCAGTATCTTGTGTATGTGGACAAAAGACCGGCGCAAATTCATAAATATGAAGGGCGGCGCTTTGAAAGTGGCCCATTTTAGAACATTATAGTGTTGTTTGGATATAATCCCATTGACATTTATTGGAAGAGCCCTTTTCATATGGATATTTAGAGAATTAAAATGTGCATTTTTTAAAAAAAAGGTAGGCCAAAAGAGCGAGGATTGACGAAGATATTCGAAAAATACTGAACTCTTCGTTATCTCTAGCCCACTCATTATATTTTAACACCATTCTTATACATCATTATGTCTATCCATCATTTCGCTCTCATAAATAGTATATGACGTCTTTTGTTTCTATTGACATTCATAAGCATCCTAATGAAATATTAAAAAAGAAACTATAGAACCGAAATTCTTTTTCAAACTCAATTATTCGTTATTTTCTACTTTTATCTGACAATACAAAAGTTTTCCAAATATTGAAATCAACAAATAAAATCTAGTTTTATACATAATTTGAGTACCTCTTTTCTCTAGAAGAAAAGATCAAAAACCATTCATAGTTGATTTGTTAAACATAATAATAGTATATTGAAATGAGGATATAAATTCATCAGAAGATATTCTTCAGCATACTATTGATATGTATTAGGTTGAGAAATATATTGAAAATGAATTTTTCGAATGAAATTTGATTTTATATTAGCTACGTGATGTTTAGTATGAGAATCACTCTCTTTCATGACATTTCTTCGGATATTTATTTATCAAATATATGAGTTATATGATGTAGAAATATTGTTGATATATGATATGAGTGAATATTTAATGATCTTCAATCATATTTGACATCTCTATTATATTCACGCACATTTAATAATCTAAAGACGTAGAAGGAAAAGTATGGATTATAACTTGTAGATGATGACAATTTCAGTTTTCGTTCACATTTGATGAATTAATAGAAACCATCTCTGATACAAAGTGATCTAAAGAAACCACTATTTTGAATCAACTAATCTATTTAGATAGCTTACTATAAAAGAACTTCTCTAGTCAGATATGTAGTGCCTCAGGCTACTCAAAAT